TGATGATAGTGATGGTGATGATGATAGTGATGGTGATGGTGATGATGATGGTGGTGGTGATGATGGTGATGGTGATGATGGTGATGATGATAGTGATGGTGATGATGATAGTGATGGTGATGATGATGATGATGATAGTGATGGTGATGATGGTGATGATGATGATGATAGTGATGGTGATGATGATAGTGATGGTGATGGTGATGATGATGGTGGTGGTGATGATGGTGATGGTGATGATGATAGTGATGGTGATGATGATGATGATGGTGGTGGTGATGATGGTGATGATGATGATGATGGTGATGGTGATGATGATAGTGATGGTGATGGTGATGATGATGGTGGTGGTGATGATGGTGATGGTGATGATGATAGTGATGGTGATGATGATAGTGATGGTGATGGTGATGATGATGATGATAGTGATGGTGATGATGATAGTGATGGTGATGGTGATGATGATGATGATAGTGATGGTGATGGTGATGGTGATGATGATAGTGATGATGATAGTGATGATGATAGTGATGATGATGATGATGATGGTGGAGATGATGATAGTGATGGTGATGATGATAGTGATGGTGATAGTGATGGTGATGATGACGGTGATGATGATGATGATGATGATGATGATGATGATGATGATGATGGTGGTGGTGGTGGTGATGGTGATAGCGATGATGATGATGATGATGATGATGATGATGGTAGTGATGATGATAGTGATGGTGATGATGATGGTGATGATGGTGATGATGATGATGATGATGATGATGATGATGTGGTGATGATGATAGTGATGGTGATGATGATGGTGATGCTGTTGATGATGATGATGATGATGATGATGGTGACACGGGCATTATAGTTTTGTTTAAATCGTGTGTTAACAGTAGCGATATTTTTAGCCTTGTTACGTTTTAATAACGTGTGTAATTGTTTTGGTCAAATGCAATTTTTAAGTGTATATTTTCTTTTGCCCGGTAGTTTATGTTTGGGGTTTTTAGATCTGGAAATACGGTACATGTATGTACGTGATGGAAGGACGGCTGGGGTTATGTCAACAAATAAAGTTCAAAGGCACCGTAACTATTCATTGAGCATAACGAATCAGTGAAAATGTCTTGTCATAAATTCTTCTTTGCTTAAGCCAAGTGTTGACACACTGACAGCTTAAATAAACTCGATTAATGCCAGCAATGCACTATGAAGGCACGAACATGGTAGCGAGACTGCGGACATGACTACGCAACATCTTCCTCTTTTTATCCGCTTTTACCAGTAGCAGCTCCCCGCTGGTTTAAAATATTGAACGCAAAAATATGTAACTTTATATCAAAGTCAAACACATCGCAGAAATATTAATTTGACATTTAAATAACGTTGCGCATTGAAGAAGTCAGGGAGCGTGTCGTCATTCGGTGAATCGTGTTGATAAGCTTAAACCTTTCAAATGTTACATGCAGGTATATGTAAGGATAAGGTGATCAAATATCTTGGGTTATACTTTATATACCAGACCCGTGAAGACCCGGGGTAGAATAGGTCTTCAGCAACCCAAGCTTGCCGTAAAAGGTGAATATGTTTGTCGTAAGAGGCGACTTACGGGAACGGGTGGTTTGGCTCGCTGACTTGGTTGATGCATGTCATCATATCCCAATTGCGTAGATCGATGCTCATGATATCAATCACTGGATTGTCTGGTCCATACTCGATTTTTTTACAGACCGCCGTCATATAGCTGGAATATTGCTGAGTGCGGCGTTAAACAACAAACAAACACAACACAACTGTATTTAACACGACGTATATATATATAGCTATAGAGTTAGGATCACTGACTACCTGAATTAAGATTCCCCTACCCCGGTATACACAGAGTGAGTATTGCTTTACGCCGCTTTTTGAAATATTCCAGCAATATCAAGGCGGGCAACAACAGAAAATGGCTTTACACATTGTACCCATATGGGGAATCGAACTCGGGTCTGAGGAGCTAAAGCTTAAACTACTATGCTACCCCGCCGCCCCGAGTATTCAAGAGGTTTCGTGGTCTAATCCCTCCAGAATGTCCTTTCTTGTCAACACATCTGTCATCATGAATTTCTCGCGATGTTATAACATACAATCAAAATATTGATTCAACGATTATTTGACCCGCCTTATATCGTAGAAAGAGTTCACTTAAAGAAGTGGTTACTATGTTGAAACGTACGTATAATATAAGGTGAGGTGAGGGGAAATGTGGTTCAAGATCATTACCCTTACATAGCGCCGTGCATGCACATGTGTGGTTTGTGACCCGTGAAGACCCGGGGTAGAATAGGTCTTCAGCAACCCATGCTTGCCGTAAAAGGCGACTATTCTTGTCGTAAGAGGCGACTTACGGGATCGGGTGGTCAGGCTCGCTGACTTTGTTGATGCATTTCATCATATCCCAATTGCATATCCATGCTCATGATGTCAAACACTGGATTTTCGGGTCCAGACTCGATTATTTACAGACCGCCGTCATATAGATGGAATATTGATGAATGCGGCGTTAAACAACAAACAAAAAAACAAAAACGTGTGTGTGTGGCTGCTTGTACTTGTCCGGCGTAATGCCGATTTGATAGTCCTAGCCCACTGAGATACCATGCCGTAGTTCAACATGAATAGGGTGGCACGGGTGGCCTAGTCGTCTAAGGCGCCGCGATTCGCTGTGCAAAGTTGCGTCGCTTGGACACGCCAGAAAACTATGATTGTGGGTTCGAATCCCGGTTCGCCCCGATTATGTTTCTGGGTTTGTCAGCACCATACCCGTGCTCGTGGGTTTCACCGAAGTGGTAAACGTCTGAGACCTGCATCACTTGGGGCTTTCCTCCCACATTAAGCTGACACGCCGTGATATAACTGGAATACTGTTAAAAGCGGCGTTAAACCAAACTCACTCACTCACTCAACATGAATACCCCACTCAGACACAGTATACTAACTCCAAGCCGACCAGTCCTTGTTTTATCCCCTTAATGCCGAGTGCAAGGAAGGGTAACAAAAAGTACCATCTTTTAACGTCTTTTGGTATGACGCAGGCGGCATCGGATATCCGACGTTCCGCCGTATAATATTAATTTAGTAGGTTCCATCCCAGTGTCATTGGTGAATAAGTATAATTATTATACAGGTTATACCTTCAAAAGTTATATTATTAAAAATGTCTGTTTTCGTCACCGGTCCTTAGTGGGTCTATGTACTATACATTATCTTATCTTATTCGTATGTTTTAAAAAGGATACTTCACACTGTACAATAAACACGTTCACTGCACTCACTCCGTGCGTGTTATTGTACAGGTACTGTTAACATTAGGCTATAAATTCATTAGCAATAAAACAGAATCCCACGAAAAAAAGTTTAAATTGAAAAAACACAAATGAAACCAGGTTTACAACTTCACTTGAAAACGGAATTGCCGGTTTGTCTAAACTACTGCGTATAAGATGGCACATGTATTGACTTGACATTTGGGGTCATATTACAGATAAACCACTTCTTGAGTGTAGCACTTGTGATAGCCTGTGTATGGGTGTGGCGATTTATGTATATATGTGCACAGCAAGGTTATCTATCTCAAACTTATAAGTATTTTCCTACCCCCACGTTCACTGACATGATTAAGCATATTCGTATACTACCTCGACCCGTGAAGATCCGGGGTAGAATAGGTCTTCAGCAACCCTTGCTTGTCGTAAAAGGCGACTACGCTTATCCACGGACTTGTATACAAGTCCGTGGCTTATCGTAAGAGCTTATCGTAAGAGGCGACTGTGCTTGTCGTGTAAGAGGCAAGCAAAGAAACAAACGCACACTACCCTTGTCGTGTAAGATGCGACTATGCTTGTCGAAAGAGGTGACTAACGGGATCGGGTGGTTGGGCTCGCTGACTTGGTTGATGCATGTCATCGTATCCCAATTGCGTAGATCGATGCTCATGATGTCAATCACTGGATTGTCTGGTCCAGACTCGATTATTTACAGACTGCCGTCAGATGGCTGGAATATTGCTGAGTGCAGTAAGTGATAATATCCTTCTCTGCCATCTCAAGTCAGTGTAATCTAGCCTTCTGTTGATGAAATTTAACTTCTTCTTTTTTTAAATTACAAATAGACTCTCCGTGTGAGAGCTACAGCCGCAATACAACGAAACAATCAACAAAATGGAAACAGTGTTAAAAAGCATTAATATTTACTTTATGCCAAATTTTAAAATTATTTCTTTTAACACAAAGGCCGCCGAACCATGTGACTGGTCCGTTATTTATCATTTAATTACGGCACGTTCGAACTGTCACTCCTTCGCTAATTAGCATAATTATACTGGGTCCACGGTAGGGACTATATAATTACAGAAGGCCTATCAATTAAAACCTCACCAATTCATGCAGGAGGGCTACTTTTGATGTATATTATTAGATAACCTTTTAATTCTCTTTTCGTAAATTGGTTTAGAGACAACTTTTGAACACATAGACAACATTATCTGTGTCCTTCCATTAATTCGTTCTTCTGTTAAATCTTTAGACACAAAAATCAGTTGAACAGATAATCCTCTAATGTAATTAATACGACGCATTTTATTTTGAATTGAAACTTCATATGCACCAAATGACATTTCTTTTTGAAAGGAAGAAAAGTAATAACACCGACATCAAATCGAGCCCTCTTATAATCTGGGGTACACGAATGACCAGCCTGAAAAGCATGTCAGTGAAATTACAAACAAGTGAAAAAACGCGATGTTGCAACAACATGTTCAAATATGATAATGTGACACTTTCTCCTATGCTTAAAATATACAAATACATTTTTTGTGGTTAGCAAACAGTGGGGTTTCTCTGTCACAAAGCACGCCATTCTCCTTTCTCCCATTATCTCAAGTTAAGGTATGTCCCCATACGACACCGCCCAGCAAATAGTTCACGTTTTTGCCGCTAGGTGCGCTGCCGCCTGACAGGTAGCCGTCCGCGACAGGTGAGACGACCGGCCATTACTCAGCGATACGGATCTCGCTACACAACTTGAATTGGAAGGTGTGGCAGTAAGGATAGTGCACGTTGCACCAAACACGTGGGATATCATAGGAAATTGAAGTACGCGTACGGATATACTGTTGAGGTAGGTTGTCTTTTTGTGGTTTATGTTTTAGCGGTCGTGGGACACTTGTCTTGGAATGGTGACAAATCCGTTTGGGGCTGGAAGTGCATGGTTGTATTCTTTACGCGCCTTGTATGATATGAATGACATGGATGATGTGAGATTTGAGGTCAAAATGACACATTTCAAATTTGTCGCCGGAGTGTCCCATTGATCACATCTGATGATTTCAGTCATTTTTCTTGATGTTCGTCGGTGAAACAGAGAGCAGTGCCAAGTTGGCAAACAGCTTAGAAGTGGGACATAGCATGTTTGCAAGGACAGTAGCCAACATTCCACCAGTGATAGAAGTTAGCGCATCACTGCACATCCCAGGATAACACTTGGGTACCCCAATCATATTAAGTGGTCTTGCACAGGTGAAAGAGGTAATTGGTCAGTCAAGTGTTGACACAGAACAGGAGTGTAAACACTGTCGATTCAATAACGCCAATAGAAGTAACACATGTTAAGGTATTGAATTTCTGTCAATGTTTTGATATGAATCCACACACTTATATCGCACAGGGCATCCTCCATGACTATGACTGTGTACATTTTGGAAGGCCATGTATTTTCTACCTGGTATACCTGCATGGAGTTTTGCCAAGTTCCACCCAGACCTGTGTCAGTTCACCCAGCAGTGTCATCGGATCATGTCAGGAGAACAAAAAACTAGTGTCACCACTGACCCGTCTAGTTAAAAAAGAAATTGGGTATATGAACACCTAGACCACAGACCCATCCAGTCGGGTTGAATGACATACCAAGGTGACCAGCCCCTAATGTTGCCACAGACGTGAAGGGGGATTTGTATGAACAACAAGCCAGACCAACAATAACTGACCCATTCAACATGACCCTTCAAATTAACTTTGCTTATCGGCACCTAAACATTCGGCCCTCCTGTATGCATAAAATATGCTGCTTAGTTTATGTTATTTAAGAAAGCATCTGAGAAAATGCTACTTTTGCAGTATCACAGCACTGAATTGATGAAATATTGATGGAATTTATTTGATAGCTCAAGCAAATCAATTACAGACGGGTAGCAGTCCCAGATCAATAAACCTCTTTCTGAGTACACTTGCTTGATTGTAACACTGTCACCAGGCTTCTTCCAACATTGGACATCAGGTCCACACAGTCCTCATATCAAGTCTTACATAACTGTCATCTATCTATGTCCTAAGACTCATAATCATAAGTAATGTCAGTTACTTGATGACATCTTTCCCAAATTGAATCAAAGTACAGTATGTTGTCCTTGCAATGTAATAATTAACCAACAATTAAGCACCTGGTGCTTGGATCATTGCCATGTTTGTCAGTGTAATTGATAAAGCTGTTCATTAAACTGTTCGTGTTGAATCCTAAAATAGGAACTTTCTCTTCATGCTTAATGCATATGTGTGGTGAGGTTATTCTAAGCTGTTTTGTCAGAAGCAGTCAAGTGTTTCCTAGATACAAGACACAGTAAAACAGTGCAGTCACACATGATAAAGTATTATGTAAGCTACTTGTGTGAGGTGTTTCCACACCTTATATAGCAGTAAAGTCGGACCGATAGCCAGGGAGTGGGTTCTAGGCCTGGGTGACAGTGTCGTGTGTTGTGTGGGTAGTGATTAGTAGACATGTATTGGTAAACAGTCTGTTTAGGCTTCACCGTTTGACCCATTTTTTCAATGGGGAGTTCAATGTTGCTTAGGACTTGACTGTTTAGTTCTGTGTTGCGGTTTGAACTTTTTTTAGACGGAATGCTTTCGGTGAACAGTAGTCTTCTCATGAGCCCCTGTAGAGTGAATGTTGATGTGGATTGAGGTTGCCTGCAAATATGTTGTGTTGAAAACTTGTTGAAGTCAATGACGGATTCTGGTTACCACTTTACTCCAAGAGTGGGATTTGGTTATTGCCTCACTGCCTGCAAATATGTTGTGTTAAAAAAAGTTTTAAAAGTATTTTGAAGCACTGTGAAAACGCATAATCAGCTTTTACTGAAAGTCAGAAAAGATGTGTTGTCCTCAAGTCCATCTCAAAACATATTGAATGAGATTTGAAGCTGTACATTGTTGTGTTTAATTATTGTGTGTTGATTGTCTCATGCCAAAACACCCAGAACAACTTAATTTGATTTTTGTGGCAATTTTGCCAAATGGTACAAAAAGTTAATATACTTTTTCACAGTATGGATGAAATATTCAGGTTAGCTCTTTTTTCCTAGAGTGGACTTGGTTGTTGCCTGGTTCACAGTGAATACTTCAAAACTGCCGATACAACACTCTGTTGCCAGTTACATAACAATAGTTAAAGAGAACTTTAGAACTTTACACAACAGCATAGATCTACTTATTAATACTGTGATCATCAAATGTGTTCATTAGTGTTTACTAGACCATAGGGATACATTCCAGCTTTAGAAATTGGCACTAGTCCTATAGTCCTGGCCAAGCTGCCCATAGTGAAGGTTTCATAAGGACTAGTAGACATTTGCCATTATTTAGGGTTTTGCTGTACGTTCTCATTATGAGGACTAGTGGACTAAAACAATTAGTTTCTATTGCTGCATTCATGTGTTTCTTAAAAAAATGTGATATGTCACGAACGTGTACATTACCCCTTAATATAAACTTGTCTCTTTTTTTATATACTGAACAAAAGAAATTAGGAATCATGAATATTTTGGGGGTACTTTTTTGTAGTGAAGACGCAGCACACAATTTCATTAAAATATCCCCCCCAAATATACGTAATCCCGAACTTATTTTTTCAGTATATGCAGTGTTAAATGATTTTCACCATGGACTTGTTTGCGTATGATGGAAATACTGAATATAATTTAAATATTTTTAATAGAGATTTAACAAATATTTCTGTCTGTTTCTAATTCAAATGCTTTTCAAGATTTCTACTCGCTTGGCAATCTTGTCCAAGTCTGTGTGTCTGGTCGATTCACTAGGGCATCAGGTGACACAGGTCATGTGATCTGACTGGCTCACTCTCTGTTGGAGCTTCACCTTGTAAGGGTTCCTTGCCAGGGGAACAAATTTGCATTTGTGGAGCTGCAGTTCAATTTATTTTGCATCCAAATTTTTACGAAAACTTTCTGATTACTCTAAGGTGCGGCAAAGTGTACGGATAAATTTGTTCACCAATCCTGAAGTGTGCCTTGAATTACCAGAGGGACCAGTAGCCAGCATTAGGCTGCGGTGGTTTGCCTTGGGGTCGCCTCATCTAACATCGACATTGACTGCAAGGGGTTTCAGGTGCACTGCTATGTGGATTGTGGATTGTCATGTATGGACAGCACAAACTCTCTGACACGGTCTGTGGACGGTACTGTAGACACACAAGAGTTCTATTGTCTCCACATTGAAAATCCATTGCCATTGACTGTCAACACTGTGTCTGGGAGGGAGGCCATCTATTGCTGCTGTTTCTGGCTCCGTTATCATCAGAAGCTCGGACAGTATTGACTGTCTTTTTGTTTCATGCTGGAATTTAATACTGTTGAAGTATGAAATAAAAGCATTCTTATCTTGAGTGTCTTGGTATAGATTTAGTCCCGTAGAACTTGGAGTGGCTGAGAGTCAGATTGATGTGTGGATGAAGTGGTCCCAGGGTGCCATGGACTTTGGATATTGATGAACATGGTCAGTGTAAGCATGGGTCAGTATTGTGATTATGGTTATATGGTAGTCGGGCACAGTTGATTAAATCCCAAAAATCAATCACTGTTCTCGTTTCCCATCTGACTCTCTTGATATCCCCTAAAACTGTTTTAACACTGTCATGATAATCATTACAAGCATGAGTTTTACTCGTTTGTGTTGCTATGGTGTCTTCATAAGTTCTTGTAAAAACCAAGATTGCTGTTGATTTAAAACATGAACATATTTGCTGAATCAGCACTTTGTCACATATGGTGGGCTATAATAGGAATAGCTCTCATTATGAATCATGAAGAATGAAAGCAAATATGATATTGATTTATTGTGTGCTAGTTTTACAGCTGTGTGGAAGTAGGTGGGACTATAACTGTATCCCTGAATTAGTTGTTCTTTGTTGTGTTCACATTAAGATTTGTAAATTGAACTTTTTTAGGATGTATGACCAGCAACAACACCAATAGATTGTAGTCATTATTGTGTTTTTGTTTAGAGACTTGTCCATGCTATGAGCGATTATTATTACCTACAGAGTTATTTATGATTTGACTTTAATATTTTTTACGTTTATGGAAGTGCAAATGTAAAAGCAAATTGAAGTCAATTCTTACAAATACATATCTCAATAAAATAGAATATTTAATCAACACACACAAAAATGTAGAAAACAGTGCAAAATCAGTGACATCATTTAGCACAAGAAAGCCCTGTCCATTTTATCAGCTAATCTTTTGTTTGTTTGTTTGCACTAAGCAATATGATGGCAGTCAGTAAATAATCAAGTCTGGACCAGACAATCCAGTGACTGATATCATGAGCATCAATCCTCGCAATTGGGATTTGATGACATGTATCAACCAAGTCAACAAGTCTGACCACCGGATCCCATTAGTCGCCTCTTATGACAAGCATAGTCACCTTTTTACGGCCATCATGGGTTGCTGAAGACCTATTCTACCCTGGATCTTCACGGGTCTTTATCAGCTAATCAGGAAATGGTGGTCCATGAGAGGCCTAGGCTTAATTTTTGTTTCGTTTATGGAAACATAAACACAAGAATAATTGCTTGGTTAGCCAAGTGAAGACACAGAATCACTTGCAATATATTTTTTCGTCTTAATCAAACTATTTGTTCTTAATCTAATTAGTGTAGAAAGTAAAATCATTTCGTCTTGAGTATTTACTTACTACATAGGTAAAAAGTTGTGAAATGTTGTGCTAATAGGTAGGTAATCTAATCTAAGCTTCGTACACCACCACAAATTAACATGCAATTGTTGCATCTGCTGCAAGATCGAGGTGATGGAGCTGGTTTAT